CAAAGCAATCTTAGACACTGCAGGATCAATACATTCTGCAAAATACAGGATCTGTTTGACATCATAATGTCCATTTTAGCAATGAATGAACTTTATGATTTGGACCACATTCGCTCACTGATGTTTCATAGACATGTTGCAGAGGTTCAATCTCTCTTATGTTATCTTTGTGACACCCTTATTAGATTATCTATCCAGTTTTGGTTTGATTTCACCAGCATGACATCCATTGATAAGTCATACTCATCTACCAGCTTTTCTAGTGAGTCGAGCCTTCTTTAAATGAGCATTTTGCTTGCCACTTCTGATGAGAGTGTACAAAATTCATCCACGAAGGCAAATAATTCTGTCATGTTTATATGATAAGCATTGTTTTCTGGATGCAAGCAGCATGCATCCTCCACAAAGTTCTTGTTAAGCTTGAGAGAGACTCTGATTACAAGAAAGTTTGTGTTAAATCACATGCCAAACATGAAACTGTCAACACACCACTTGATGTTGTCCTGTTGTACACTAGTAACCGATGACCATAATCATAGTTTTAAGGGAGTTTTCAGTTAACTTATTGTCCCAACTGGACAGGAGTGCAGTTGCTCTGCATTTGACAAAGAGCCAGCTGCACACTAGAAAGTGTCTGACTAGTTTCCCACACATTGAAAACATGCTGTATCATGTAATAACTGCAGATACTTCCATATATCCAATGCAAGAGTGTCATGCTTCTCCTAGACTCACATGCTGTGTACTCTTGTTCCATTCCCAGTCTTTATGTGTCAATTCATAATCAGCTAGATGTCTTGCATGTGCTGCAGGCACCAGGTCTTTGTTGATCTAAATGTCAGCAATGGAGGCTGATCAAAACTTTCAACAATGCAGCATCTATGATGGCTATCATGATTGCTTGAACCACATTGAGCCCAAATATCATTCATGTCAGGCAGTATCTCTGCCCCTTGAAGATTAGAGTTTGAAAGAGCCAAAGTAATTGGTTTATATGCATCTGTAGGTAGACCTTTCAAAAATAAAATACAGACACATTGAACCCCTGTCAACATGCTCATTTAACTCTTGATAATCTAACACTGAGCACATCTTCCCTTTGTTCTTTTGCTCTACAGTCATTAGTGGGATTAAGCCTCTCAGGGGGAGATACTAGCCACCATTTATCCAGCCACTCCAGCAATTCATGTTGGTATTTGTTCCAGATATGTTTATACAAAAGTCATTGAGATTTAAATTTACAAAGGGGATTTAGAGCCAATCTTTTGTTGGATGACTATAAATATCAAATAAAATCAAATGCAAAAACAAAAAACTAAAAAGTTCTACAGATGAATTCTTTAGGGATAATGTTGTTGACCGCTGGAAAAAAAATTAACAAAAAAAAAAAAAAAAAAAAAAAAATCAAATTTCACAAAGAGCCTCTTTTCAGATGATTTTTCCTATAATTGTCCCAAAACAAAGTTAGCTATCAGTAGCTGAGATCAATAAGTAAAAGCAACCTCAGAACATCTGTAGGCATCAAATATAAAGGACACTAATTGAAAGACATATTCATGACAAAAACAAAAAGGATTTTATTTTTTGAAATATTTTACTTACTACCACAAATATTCAGATACAATAAACATTCAACAAATTTCATTTTCAGTGAACATTATTCCAAGAAACCAAAAATGGACATACATTCATTCATTTTGAAAATACATTAATTTTATTTCTAAATCATACTGCATTTTATTTTCCATTCTTAAAAGGCACCAAAAAATTTGATAAAGAAAAACCTGATTGTTTTTCCCTTTTAAATCATATAAAGCAGTTTCATCTTCCTAAACTTTCCTTGATCACTAACACTCAAATCATATACAAATTATTCAAAATTTTTTTTTTTTAGAGAGTAGAATCAAATATGCTTCTTGTACATTTGAACATAATTTCCATTCTTCACAGACATAGATCAATTTACAAATTAAGTGAATTTGACTGACATAGCAAATTAGTTTTGTGCAATATACAATATTAGAAGTTTCCTTTTTAATATTTTTTCACGTGCTTTCAACATAAAATTTAATGAAAAATATACAATTGGTTCTTGATTTTGCATTTTATTGTACATTGATTAAGAAGCAGAACATACCAAAATTTTAAAAATTAACTAATAATCAACTAATTATTAAATTTAAGTAACATTTTCAGTACCTATTTGTTAATGATAGAAATTATGTTCAGAAATAGTATTTTGTAATAATATGATAATTTGGGGGAAATATTTTTTCAAATTTTGTTTCCAACTATACAATCAATTTATCGATTTATTTATACTATTACAATCAATTTATTGAATTTTATCAACTTGCTATAAAATATTATGTGTAATTGAATTAGACTTGCATTCCTATAATGATAAATCCTTGGAATATATAAACCAGTTGAAGCTTTTTTATTTTTTTACTTTTATAGATATTTTATATATAAAACTCTGGCAATGCACTAAAAATGA